CCATGCGCGGTGTCCGTATTTGCGGTTGGCATACTTGCGGCACCTTCCGACTGTTGTTGTTGGAGCACTTTTTCGCCTGTAGTCGGTTCATTCCTACTACCACCCGATGCATTATCCTGAAAAGCCGTACGCGATCTGGTACGAGTTCCAGTATTCTNTTCATTCCTACTACCACCCGATGCATTATCCTGAAAAGCCGTACGCGATCTGGTACGAGTTCCAGTATTCTGATGGAAATCCTTACTGGTACACGCTGTCCGACATTGAGGGCAGGATGAATTCCTCTTCAGCCATGAGAGTAAACAATTCCGATGGAACCTATGCGAGCAAGCTGTGACCAGCACATCGTCACGTTCCGAGAAGCTTTCCCGACATATTGTGCACACAGTCTGCCCGTTGGGCACCAGCCCTGGAAGGTTTTCGCCGCTGTTTCGTAACGGCATGTTCAAACCGAGTGTTGGAAAAAAAAACAAAACTACACTCGCAAAGTTATGCCGTCGGTCCGTACCAATCTGGTAATTCAACTATATTCGACTTAAAAATGTGTTGGGGGTTATGGTTTCTACGTATTAGCATTCATACGCGTGATAGAAAAACAAAAATATCCTTTAAGTGTGGTATTCCAAAAGAAACAGAAAATTTAACGGGTATTACACTAACTCCGTTACTGTGCATGAGTAGGAATCAAGAGTTATTACTAACGCAGGGAAATGGAAGCGGTAATATATTCGTAGTGCCACTGACCAAAGCACTAGCGATAACTTTGATGGTAGCGATGGAATATAACTCTACCTTCAAATATAGCAAAGTTGCTCGAAGAGGAAATGCTAGACTCCAGTCAGGTTGCTTGCCAACTCTATCGTGTAACCGCAAGATGCGCGTAGTGCGGGAGTAACAACAATAAATATTTGGCTATCGATGGGCTTTAAACTAACTTTTATTTTTCTTTTTTTTTTTCCTTTAAATCACTTTACTCAAAGTCTGCAGTAACACAAAAAAAAACTTGTCAAATCAACAGAACCTATTTATAAAAATGGCAATTGAGATCTAAGAACACTTTATAAAAATAAAAAAAATCATGAACTTAATTTGGTCTGATTTCAACAGGGTTTGTGTGGTGGTCCTGGTGTATGGCATACGGTCGGCGTTAGGTGTAAAGCTTGTATTGTTTTGTGGCTTATTGAAATAGTTAACAACGTCGGTCATAGTGCATTTCATTTGCAACTATACATTCCGAAGTATCCAAAACTATCTAATAAAAAAAAATAAAAAAAAAACATATCTAGGGGTGATATCTCGAAGTGAAAGTGAGAATTCCTTTATCTGGTATAGCGCGGTAAACTATGGGGTAGCCAACTAGCATTAAGCCTAATTGTAACCGCCTTCCAAAAAGTTAAGCACTGAAATACACAAATAAAACAAAATATGCTTAGCTTAAATAAATCTCGGGATATGGAGTATTCGCGCGGTACGTTCGTGCGGCATTTAGCCGTTAGAATCGTAAATTCCAGCGAGGATTGTCCGCACCCAAAAAGTATTTAGACACAGCACGAAAATAACTAAATAAAAACTATTAATAATTTGGTCAGAAACGATCACAACGGATTTAATTTCCTAAAATTCCAAAATTATCTCTCTTATAATAAATCGATGAACGGACGGACGCTTCGATTCCAAGGGGGAATCCTATTATGGAGCCACGAGATGATAAAAGCTCTAAAAAGTAACTTCCTATCCAGTCGGGCCCCACGTTGGGCGCCATTTTCTGTTATGTGACCAGCTAACGGGTCGATACCCATGACTAAAATTATAGTCACCNTTGTTATGTGACCAGCTAACGGGTCGATACCCATGACTAAAATTATAGTCACCAAGGAGCAAGCTGCCGGTGGCTGTGTCCAGTAACCACGGCGTGTGGACTCGCGTTTTAGCCCGGAGCTTCAGCTGCGTGTAGTTCCGTTCACGCAATCACTGGACAAGCAGTGCCCCTACCCAGTCAAC